AATTATTAATTTATTTCATGACTAAAAAAAAATAAGTTCAACATTTTTTTGCTCCATTACGGTTGGTTTTCGGACATAGGTTATAACGAAATTTTTGCTTAGAATAATTCAAGGAATCACCTCTTAATGTTACGTCTACTATTTCCCTAACACCCTGTAGAATAATAGATTTATCTCAAAATCAGGTGTTGTGTTTCTTATATAATTGTTTGTTATTCATTCATCAAGTTGAAATCAGCACTAATAAGGTCAAACTTTCGGAGATTCTGATTCAATTTACAGCAGTTTTTTGGATTCTTTGGAGTTTCCTTACGGTTTCACAGTCCAACAAAGGAAAGTATAGTAAAAGGCAGTAGGTGAGATTCTATATCACCAAAGACTCGCACAATATTCTCTTGACTTTAAAATCAAATACCTGTTTATTTGCATACAACAACCTGGTGATTGCTTAGCAACTTTTGATTAGATTATTTACATGGTGCATAAGTTTCAGGTTCTGGTCAAAAAGTGTGCCTAAATTTCCTGATGATTCTCCAGTTGGTGTGTTTGACCATTTACACATCTTCGCTTGAATGCAGAAGTATTCCTATACTACTCCTATCTCTAAAGGGGACCTAAAAATGTCAGTAAATAAATACATTAATTATTTCCAAATTCCAAGTATTGCAACAAATATAGCACAAAACGTCGATGAACTTCATTTATGTACACAAAATTCTGATGCAAAATTTCGAATTTTTAATATGAACATAAGGAGTATAAGACACAACATTGATTACTTAAAAATACTACTCGACCAAATAAGGTACAATTTTGATCTAATAGTTTTAACTGAAACGTGGCAAGTGGCTGATATTTCTTGCTTCAATCAGCAGGGATATGACACGCTGTATAACTTTGGCACTTATAACCAAAACGATGGGGTGATAGTTTTTGTAAGAGATAAACTGCAATATAATCATGATACATTCACTTTCACCGATGGAATCAAAATTTTAAACATAATGATCCAAATTAACCATAACAAAATTGAGGTATCTGCAATGTTCAGAACCCCACGAGTTTTTAAAGAATATCGAATTTTTTTTTTAAAATCAAAATAAAGTTCATTTAAAGCAACATATTTTCTTGGGAGATGTCAATATAAATATTTTGGACGATGATCCCATCACAAATGAATACTTGAATATCCTATCAAGTAACGGATTTCTGTCCTATATAAACCTACCTACACGGTCCATCAGTGGCACATGTATAGATCACTGCTTTGTGAAAGACCTATCCAACAAAATTACTTGTATACCAATAATCCTAGAAAGCGGTATTACTGACCACTTCTCCACTATTTTACTGATATCTTCAAATGAAAAACATTCTAACATCCCTACCGTTAGTAACAACCAGGAAAATTACAAATTTTTTGTCGACAATTCAAAACTAATATCAAATGTCAAACAAGAATCCTGGGAACAATTATACTCTATAAATAATATAGACAAAGCAACGGGACTGTTCATAGAGAAAATAAAAAAACTAATAGATATTAGTACCAATAAAGTAATAATTAGTCACAAAGAGAAAAGCAGAAATGCCTGGATTACCAAAGGATTAATAACATCGGCAATAGAAAAAGAAAGACTATATAATCTAATGAAACTAACGCCAACTACAGAGAATACCGACTGCTACAACCAATATAAAAATAAATTTATAGAGCTTGTAAGGCAAACCAAACGAAAACATTACCTAAATAAATTGAACAATAACTTAAATGATCCTAAGCGGCTTTGGACAACTATTGATGAGATTACTGGGAAAACAAAAGTTAAAGAGTGTGTCACTGAGTTAAATACAACATCGGGAACAGTATTAAAAAATACTCAACTGATATGCGATGAATTTGTACAATTCTTTACTGACATAGGCGAAAATTTAGCAAGTAATATACAAGCAAATGTACAAAATACTCAGCCTCCAAAAAGAACTTTGAACTCATTTATTTTGGATAAAATCGAGCAATGTGAAGTATACACCACTGTTATGTCCTTAAAAAATCGGAAAAGTCCTGGGTTCGATGGTATTAAAAGCGAGCATTTGAAAATTATAGCCGAGGACATAACAGAACCACTCACTTACCTAATCAACAAATGCTTTGAATCTGGCATATATCCCTCAATTTTAAAAAAAGGTAATATAATACCGATACATAAATCAGGAACAAAAACAGATGTTAACAACTATAGACCAATATCAATAATATCCAGTGTATCTCACATATGGTATATTAGCATGGGGAGCTGCATGTTCCTCACATATCTATAATTTAGATGTTTTTCAAAAAAGTATTCTAAAAGTGATATTTAAAAAACCGAAACTTTATCCCACTGAAAAATTATACGCAGATGTTCGAATGTATGATATAAGACAGCTTTATTTCTTACACAGTATCACTCACTACCATAAATTTGTAAACACCGACCAAAAAATTAAACATAATCATTATACCAGGTACAAAATTCGTGGCACAGTAGTTCCTCAACCGCATGAATCTATAATGCAGCGATCATATCTCTATTTAGCGCCTAAATTTTATGAAATTATACCTAAAGACTTAAAAGATTTACGTTTCGGAAATTGTTTCAAAAGAAATTTAAAAAAGTGGCTACATTCTATATGTAGGACTGAAATTCATAAACTCATAAATACGAACATCAACTAAATACATAATCTACTGTAGCTAATTTTTGTCCTTTTTGTCATTTGCATTCTACAGTTTCAACTTAAATTTATTGGTCCATGTACAGGCGATGCCTTCTATGGGGCCTGTTTTGATTTTATATTTATTTACTCATATTTTTTGTTATCTTTGTACATTGAGTGAATAAATATTATTATTATTATTATTATTCTAAGTCACAAAATGCAAATTTTACAGGAGAGCTATTTTTCGTGTTTGTGTTTTGCCTAACGTTTCTGAGAAATTTTGGACATAGATTGTTTTACCGGAATAAAAGTATGACAAGTCCGTGAAAGTGGACTTATATTTCTTGCTGACATTGGACTTACAGTAGTTCTGTAAGTGATCATTTGCTCTAATCATAGTTCTGCAGCGAAATGACGCCCCTCAGGTTATTACGCCTAATATCGTTCAAGACCAGTGGTGGGGGAATGCTAGCGCAGGGACTTACAATACCTCTGCGTGCAATGTAGGTGACTATGACCTACAATGTCGTGTTAAAATCTGAAAAATGAAGAATTTGGTCATACAATAGTTCTGCATTCAGACGACGACATATCAAATTTTCTTTCACTTTATGTCTTATGTCTGAATCTAAAATAGTGATGTTTCTGTGAATTCCGCTACATTAACCTAACAAAAAAGTACATGATCTTTAGAGGCGAGTATAAAGTTAACGTTTTTTGTTTGACATTTCTTGCTGTCTCTAAAAATAAAGTGGTGGCGATATTCAAAGATTTCCGTAAAAAACACCTTGTATATTTTAACCGATTTTAGCCGATTTTAAGAAACCTACGCCGGTTGAAAAGACCTATTGTTGGGCTAGAGGGCTTTTTTCGACATTCCGACAGAAATGGTTAATTTTCTCGCAAAAGAAACTGTATTCGTATGATTTCTCGTATGAAAAAGTAGATAAGGAATGTCTAAGCAAGCTCGCAAAAACCGCATCTCGATATCTTGTCCCTAACATAAAATTTAGACCAAAGACAAAACTGCTGCTCCAATTTCGGCCCTTGATAGGTTACGTATTGTATTTACGAATCTGGATTTTCATATCTTTTCTGGTTGTAGGTTGAGTCTGAAACACGATATCTTTTAACCGTCCCCATAAATAAAAATCAAGACAATTTAAGTCTGGTGATCGCGGAGGCTATAGAAACAGACTTCCTCTTCCAATCCACCGCTGTTGAAAAACTGCATCAATATGCTCTGGCACAATGATATCAAAATGTACTGGGTAATTATTCAAGTGCAAAAACAAGTTTTGCCGTGTCTGCATTGGCACATCTTCCAACAACAACGGTAATTACTTGTTCAAAGGGTCAAAAAACACATTGCCATTTAGGGATTTTAACTCCAACGCCCTTGGTGCTGAACTTCACGGCTAACATCCAATGCCAATATCAAAGTCAACGTCTTCCTCTTTCAATGGCTGATGCAAAACGGCATGGTATGGATGCACTATAAAAGTAATTAAAAATAAATCCCTATATTTTGATGGCCATTAAAACGTACCCGTAAATATTTTGAACCGTTGTTCGTGGTATGCCCAACTCAAGGGATAATGTTCTTGTGCTAACATGAGGATTTCCTTGATATTTTCTTGTGTTTTCCCTATTCTTTGCCTTTCAAACGTAAGCCAAAAACTACCATTAGCTCGTAAGCTCACCACTAATCAAGGAAAAACTGTTACATCGCAAAGACGCGAATCGCGCAAGCTCTTTTTGGTACTGCGGCATTCTGAAGACATTCAAAGCATAACAACAGTTTCATCGCTCATAAAACGCATTTGGTAAGCCCAAAAGTTGCTCAAATTAACGCGAAACTATTGACACTTTGAGGATTATTTATGTTTTGATTAGGTATCTGTTTTGTTGTATTCCATGGTCTGCTTCTATTAACTGTCTTTATCGTATACGTCCATAATGAGTATGCATTTAAACAAAAAATATGCCTTTTGTTATTAACATTACTTTCTTACCTTTTCGCGATATTTTGTATTATTTTCAAAAAAAGTCATTTTATTCTGATGAGTGGAAAAGAATTCCCTATACACACACATATATTCGTCCCCAAAAAGTACCTTAAAACTTTTTTTTTGTCAGTGAAATATTATTTATGGTCTCCTGAAACATCAAGATATGGGATAAGGTTTTTGCACTGACCGATTTGAATGAACTTTTCGATTACACTGTCATAATAGCCATATCTCGCTCTATTACCAAAATTCAGGAGCTCGCGGGGTGAGTCTGAAAAAAGTCACCCGCTTCTTCCGTCTTCTGGTGTTCTCTGCCAGCGAACAAGGCAGCAGGCCGCAGCGTCGTCTCCGAGAGCACGCTTCGGCGTCAGCGACGTCTTTTCTTCCGTAGCGCGCCGGCCTCAGTCTGACTCCGGACCGGCCGCGGACTTGAACTGACACCGGATGACCACGTGCCCGCGAATGCAGCATTTCCGAACTCGATCATTGTGTGGAAAAGTTAAAATAGTTGTTCATGTGAAGTGATGGTCGCAGTCTCTGGTTTCTTGCCTACTTTTTGTTAACCACTTTATCATAGTTTGCTTGAAGTAGAAGTTTTTGTAGATGTTTTCGAAATATTGAAGCAGATTATTCAAAAGTGAAATTATCACATGTGGCTTAGAATTATCTACAGGGTGTAAAATACAGGATAGGATTCATTGGCTCATTTTAGGGAGAATAGTTTGTATGAACATATAGTATGTCCTAAACCGCTTAACTTTTGAGCACATGGTGTTGAAATTTTGAGGAAAAATTGATTTTCTCACCATAACTTTGATACTGTTCTAGATAATTACATGAAATTTGACATGCACCCACTAAGCACCTATAGGCTTTTTTTTGATGTAGAATATTTTTTAATATTCCTACCAGTGTTCCACCGTACGTATACTGCAGACTTAAAAAAATTATACGTCATCACTTTTTTCAAAAAAAAATTTATGACAAGATTTACGAATTCCGAATTGGCAGATATGCATTTTACCTGCGGATATGCTACTATGCGGATATTTCAAGAGCGGTATCCAAACCGTATCATCCCCGATGCCAGAATGTTTTCTAGAATACACAGAAAACTACGGGAAACTGTGATTCTTAGCATTGACAATAGGTCTAAAGGGGCACATCGCACGGTGAGAACACCAGAACTAGAGGAAGCTATTTTAAGCACATTTGAAGAACATCTAGAAACAACTACTAGGAAAATTGCGGTAATGATGTTTCCCATTTTCTTATTTGGAAAACACTTGTTGATAATTTAGTATACCCCTATCATTGGTGATTTAAATGTAAATTTATTTGCCGATAATACCTTACAACAATGCTTGGATATGTAAGGTTTCAAGCAAATTATTGATGCTCCCACTAGAGTAACTAATAGTACAGCAACTCTTCTGGACCCTATTTTTATTAATACCCCAATTACTGTCACTAACTGGTTTACTTTAGATGCTAATTTGTTGTCCGATCATAAAATTGTTTGCTGTATCTTAAACATATCCCGTGTGAAACATGAACAAAAAATGATCACCTTCAGAGATTTCTCACACTTTGATGAGCAATCTTTCATTGATGACCTGGCTAGAGTAAATTTTATTGAAATTTGTTATATGAGGAATATTGATGATAAAGTTCAATTTTTCAGTAGCAAGTTAATTGACATCTTCAATCGTCACTCTTCTATAAGGACGGTACGCGTGAGTAAGCCGAAAGCGCCGTGGTTGTCATATCCGTTGAGACAGCTTCTGAAGCAAAAAACGAGAGCATATTATTTATACAAGATAGACAGAAGTCCAGCAAGATTGCAGGTTTTTAGGGAACTTAGAAACCTTGCACTATCGTGCATTAGACATGAAAAAATGGCGTATCTTGCTCACTTGGAAAAAGGGCGTGATCAGAAAAAATTGTGGTATGAATTGAAAAATATGAAAGCACAAACATCTGATAAGCCACGTATTCCAAACCATCTTGCAGACTCGTTCCTTGCAAATAATTATTTCATATCAGTTTTTGATTCCACAAATGCTCCTGATCACGTTTTAAGGTATTATAACGATAATGTTCCCCATATTAATAAATTTTCTTTCAGGCTTCTAGAGCCTCATGAAGTAGCTGAAATAATTTCTAGTTTTAAGTCCGATGCAAAAGGTACTGATGGGTTGAGCTTGTCTATGATTAAGCTCAGTCTGCCTGTTACTCTCATCTACATCACCCACCTTGTTAATAGTTGCCTTGAAAGAGGTTATTTCCCTGAAACGTGGAAGCGAGCAATTGTGGTACCAGTTTCAAAAAAATCAAATCCAAATGAGTTTGCTGATCTAAGGCCTATAAGCCTGTTGCCTTGTTTATCGAAGGTAGTTGAAAAGGCAGCCCACATACAACTAATGCATTATGCAGAGGAACATATCATCCCATCTGATCAGTCTGCTTTTAGGAAATCTTTTAGTACTACTACTTCCCTCTTAAACTTAGTGGATAATATTATTAGAGCACTTGATAAAAAAATGGGCGTAGCAGTGATGTCAATCGATTATTCCAAGGCCTTTGACAAAATAAATCATGAGTTGTTAATAGCAAAGTTGAAGTATTATGGCATAGATCCAATTGCATTGAATTTTTTTCGAAATTATATATCAAATCGATCGCAGTGTGTATCAATTGAAAACAATAAATCTAGTTTTCTAGAAATCTCGTCTGGAGTACCCCAGGGGTCTGTTTTGGGTCCCTTGTTGTTTTTGATATATATTGCTGATCTGCCTAAGGCTGTGAGTTTTTGTGAACTCCAGTCTTTTGCGGATGATACTCAACTGGTCCATTATTTTGATACTGATGATATGGAAATGGCACAGACATCAATAAACCATGATATTCAAAAAGTGTATGACTTCTCGATAAACCACAACCTGTCAATAAATCCTGGTAAATCCAGCCTGTTATTTTTATGTTCGGATCGTAGGAGAGAAGAAATTAAAAGTCGATTAACTACGTATATTAAAATTGGATCTCAAAGACTGTACCCGGTTGACGAGGTTAAAATTCTTGGCGTGGTAATCGATTTCAAACTTAGATTCACCAGTCATGTTAAAAATCTTTTGAAGAAAACCTACTTGAAACTGAGATCATTATATGCCAATAAAGCAATTTTCAATTACAAGCTAAGGAAAAAACTGTGTTCATCTTTGGTTATGCCGATTTTCAACTACTGTGATATTTTATATTATCCGTGTCTCAATGTTGTTGCTAGAAATCGGATTCAAATTGTGCAAAACAATTGTGCTAGGTTCATCTGCGGTTTAAGGCGCTTTGACCATGTTTCTGGTAGTCTTATTGAATTAAACTGGATGATAACAAAAAATATTGTCAAATATCATTACCTTGTTTTTATACATAAACTAATACTTATGTCAAAACCTATATACTTAAGAGAAAAGCTGATCCTTAGGCGAAATATTCATCATAGACATATTAGATTTCCAGATTTGATAACTACACCTATTCACTCCACAACTTTATTCCAGCGTTCTTTCACGTACAGGGCTTCAGTGTTATACAATGCCTTGAGTCCTGAATTCAAAACCATGTCCTTAAATTGCTTCAAGAAAGCTGTCAAATCTCATATTTACTTGGATCCATAGTCTTAATTAGATTGCTATAGATATATTGATAAATGATTCTTCACTTCCCTTGTGTACATGTAGCAAACCTTGGTGCAACATGTACGTATGTAATGTGTGTATATGTATGTATGTACATGTGTATGTATATATGTATATTTTGTTTGATATCTGCTACTTAACAACTTGTTTTTTTTTGCATGGGTGGTTAAGTGTAAGAGTAGCATGTTGCTAAACTTCGCCACCATATGCAACTCTTGTTTCTGTATGAAGTACAGTTTAAATAAAGACGATTATTATTATTATTATATTCAAAGGATTCGAGCACTACAGTAGCGTGATCTTCCATTGCGTTTAAATTTTTGAAGATGGTTTTTAGAAAAACTTGCTGAAAGCCCTCTGTGTGATATCTAAACACGCTTTACTGATGACGCAACTTTTCCCGCTATTCCATTCGAAATTTCCAGAAAACCCATACGCAATTACGGGGGCACATCATCAGGAGCAGGTTTTCATGAATGTGTGGGCTAGAATAGTTGGAGATTTCTTCACTGGACCGTTCTTCCTTCCTGGACAACTTGGTGGACTATCCTATCGTCACTTTCGTGAAAACGATTTGTACCTCTTTCATTAAGAGAAGAAATGTGGTACATGCATGACGGTGCTCTTGCACATTTTAGCATTTACGAAGCGTTTTCGATTCGCTGGATAGGATGTGGGGGCACTCAGTCTTGACTTCCCAGATCCCCTGATTAGTAGTTTAGACTATTTTTTGTGGGGACACATCAAGACTTTAGTTTACACTACACCGCTTCTAACTGTAGAAGAACTAAGGCAGAAAATTTTATTTTCTTGCCATACCATAAGAAATACTTCTGGAATTTTTGAAAGGGTTCGCCAACCCATGAGAAAAATAATTGAAGCAGAAGGAGGGCATTTTCAACAATTCTTGTGATAATTAAATTAAATAGTATTAGTTTATATGATCAACGGAAATTGTCAAAACTTGTTGCAGATTTGTTTTTTAATTTTCGTGCATTGCAAAATTGCTAAAATTGGTTGAAATAGGCCAAATGGTTTTTATTTTTTACGCGAAAACGGTGCATCGGACGGAAAAAAGTTAAGAGGTCAAATTTGTTGAAAAATAAATGAGCTTTTAAAAAATGATTTTCAGAACGAGCAACGGAGTATAATACTCCTAGAACAAATATTTAAGAACATTCTACATCAAAAAATGCCTATTGGTGCTCAGTAGGTGCATGTCAAATTTCATGAAAATATCTAGAACAGAATTAAAGTTATGATAAAGCGATTTTTTTATCCAAATTCTAACACACTGTAGTTAAGAGGTTTAGGGCATATGCTCTTATAAACCTTTCTTCCTAAAATGAGCTAAGGAATCATATCCTGTGAGCTTAACCATCAATTAAATTACACCCTGCATAGATATTGAGCAACAAAATGTTTGTCGCTCAACAATCTGTAACTAGGAATTTCCTAGAATATTTGAATGCTTCACAATTACTGCACTCTCCTTCTGAAGTGGATCAGTTTGCCCTGAAAGAGTTTTAAAGTGTGCTCACCACAACTGTCTGCTGATATGTGTCTCCATCGCAGTACCTATCTACACATTATCATATCTGTAGTCTCCACAAATGAAAGTTTCATTTGATAGGTTTATATTAAAATTTCCCATATCAGACAAAAACCGTAAAGTGTGTGTGGCTACAATTAGCGAACACTGCACTCTACTTCCGACATCAATCACTGTGAATAACATACAGGGTGGCGCATCGAAAACGAAACAGACGCATTTAC